CAAACAAAGACATTTGGCTAGGCTCGACGCCTTAGGAAAGCCTCCAAATGTTACTAACATTTGGTTCGGCTAATATCCTAGCATGACTCATGCGGGCCAGGGAATTGGACTTCCAGCTCCCACCTCAATTCTAATTTCATTCGATATCCTTCATGCAGATTTATCGGAAGGTTCCCGTGTGAGTTAGAACCGTGATCAGAAAAAATGAGACACATATGAGCAGGCATCGATCATCATTAGGTCCGAGCAGAGGTGAACTCTAGACGCGATTTCACCTAGACAGGTCACGCGACCTAGCAAAGTATGGAATTCAAGAAGTCTAAAGAGGATAGAAGCCTTAGAAGTCAGCAAACGACAGTTCGACCGTCGCTCTCGACGCTGTCCATCACGAATTTCAGCAAGCTGAGAGCAGACCTGGTGACTGCGGTTTGATTAAAGTGAAAGTAGACTCGCAGAGGATCTACCCCCACTATCTCACTACTCTCACACCCGAACCCCATTTCAAGACAAAAGTCGAGAATGCCGGAGATTGGGGAGAGTGCAGGCGGTGTGCAAGAAAAGCACTCCAACACGCGCCACAACAACACCACTTTGCTAGGTAGGCTCCCGCCTGGGAGCGCAATTAATGCGGAGCCATTGAGCCCAACTCTCAGCCCACAGTAGGACACTCCACACAACAAGATACACAGTGGACTGACTGCGGTGTCCAAGTTATCCCGTCCGTTGGCAAGCCTCCAGGCCAGGGCTTGTAGCGCACCGTGATAGTTTCAAACGCATCGGATTTTTTTTAGTGAGGAGCGAAATGCGCTCAGGGTCGACCTCACTCTCTCCCTCACCGCCAGCACAGAGCACATTCAGCACAGCACTCAGCACACACACACACACACACACACACATACACGACAGTTCGACCGTCGATTTCGACTATGTCCACCACGAGCTTCAACGAGTTGAAGGCAAATGTCCACCACGAGCTTCAACGAATTGAAGGCAAACTCGGTGACTTTCGCTGGATTAGAGTGAAAGTGGACTCGCGGAGAATCTACCCCACTCTCTCACCACTCCCGCACCAGACCCGATGCCAAGACAAAGATCCAGAAGATCGGAGATGGAGGAGGGCGCAGGCAACTGGTGTGACCAACACTCAACACGCCTACCAATATCACGCCTCGCTAGGTAGGTAGGCTCCCACCTGGGAGCGCCATAAAGGCTACATTGAGAAGGAGCCATTGAACCTGACTCTCAGCCCGTTAGCCATTCTACACAATACGGCACACACTGGGCCGGCTGCGGTGTCCAAGTCATCCTGCCAGTTTTCAATCCTCCACGCCACTGCTTTTGGCCCACCGAGATAGTTTCAAGTGCACTAAATTGTTTATAGTAAGACAATAAATGCGCTGAGAGTCGGTCTCCCCATCTTCCCCACTGCCAGCAACAGGCCACCACCTAGCTGATCGGCCAATAAGTAACTAGCGCACAAGTGGGCACCCATCGTGGACATTGGGTAGCCCTTACTGTTACAAATATGCAGTAGCATAGCGACTGTATCCCTTAAATACTGCAACTCTCCGTACGTTAATTATCCGTTGCTGCTATTGTCTCTGAAGATGGATCCGCAACAAAATCCGAAACGTCAGGCAAATAACGTTCCTTTCTCAGCGATTGCATCCACTTCGTCTAAATGCAGTTAATCGAATTTGTTCAATTCAATATCTAGGCTGCGTTTGCTTCGAGATCGACGAGGGGCGCGTATGAAAAAACGCGGAGCATAGATAAGTTAAGACTTCGAATTTAAAATTTGGTTAGCCTTCAAGGCTTTTAATGGGTGCTTTTCGTAGACTCGCACAACACACTTGACTCAACTGTGGGAAACTCAGAGGTTCCGGTGGAGTTCAAACACACAAGATCAAGTTCAACGCTGGTGCACCCGGTTGTCAAAACAGGGTCAAAAAGACCGGAGATGGAGGAGGGTGCAGGCGGCTGGTGTGACCAACACTCAACACGCCTAACAATATCACGCCTCGCTAGGTAGGCTCCCACCTGGGAGTTCCATAAAGACCACGTTAAGAAGGAGCCGCTGAGCCTGACTCTCAGCCCGCAATAAGCCCCTCCACACAACAAGACACACTGGGCCGACTGCGGTGTCCACGTTATCCCGTCAGCTGGCAACCCTCCAAGCCACGGCTTTTGGCGCACCGTGAGGAAAGAAATGCGCCGAGAGTCGACCTCAATCTCTCTCCCACCGCTAGCAACAGGCCACCGCCTAGCTGTCGGTCGCCTGAGGTGGGATGGGCGCAATGATGTAAAGGAAAACAAATCAGAACACAAACAAACACACACAACTTAACTCAGGAAATGAATCAGTGCAAAAAACTGCATCTCCAACAGCAATATGAGCATGAAAACTACGACTTTACTCACCACAGCTTCATTCAGTTTCGCCTCATATCGACCCCAAACTGCAATACGTTTGTTTAGCTGATTACTGATTTCAGTTATGGAGAATTTGGAGGTCACAGTGTGGTGCTCTTGTTTGGTGTGGACAATCCACTCTCGTATCACGCCGCTGGACATCTCGGTCGGTAGAGGCGACTGCTCCTTTTCGCACTTCTCAATCAACTGGAGACCGTGTTTTAGTCGCTGCACCGTGATTGGGGTTGGCTCAGAGAGACCGAAAGACTTCTCGATTTCCTGTTTTGGATCAAAAGAAGCGCGTGGTTAGACGTTAGATGACAAGTATCTCAAAGCACCCCAGGCGATATTTCATGCTCGATTACCTCTCACTAATTGCGGTTGGTTCTGCCGGGATCGAGTTATGTGGTAGGGCGTGCCCAGAGACCTGACGGACGACACAGGCGCGCTGCATCAAGGCCTCGCCAGC